TTTGCTTATACATTTTTTTAAGTTCTTTATAGATTCTGGACATTAGACCTGTGTCAGATGCATAGTTTGCAAATATTTTCTCCCATTCTGTAGACTGTCTGTTTACTCTGTTGATAGTTTCTTTTGCTGAGCACAAGCTCTTCAGTTTAATTAGTCACATTTGTCGATGTTTGCAAAACAAGCTTTAAAGACACAGAATCTTTAAGGATTCTATGGCAGCTCTCCAAAATTAAATAAACAAAATAAAATTTGGGATTAGGTTGAAAAAAAGTTTTGAATTAAAGGAAAAGAGTCCTTCTGAAGATGGAGATATTTTTAAACTGTGGGAAATACTTTAAAGGAAGAGAATTAAAACTATGATATTTAACTTTTTTTTTTTTGAGACAGAGTCTCACTCTGTTGCCCAGGTTGGAGTGCAGTGACGCTATCTCGGCTCACTGCAACCTTCATCTCCTGGGTTCAAGCAATTCTCCTGCCTCAGCCTCCTGAGTAGCTGGGATTACAGGGGTGTACCACCGCACCCAGCTAATTTTTTTTCTTTTTTTTTTTTTGTATTTTTAGTAGAGACGAGGTTTCACCATGTTGGTCAGGCTAGTCTCAAACTCCTGACCTCATGATCCACCCACCTTGGCCTCCCAAAGTGCTGGAATTACAGGCATGAGCCACCGTGCCCCACCTAACTTCTTTTAATATCTCTGAATCAGCTATTTGCAACCTGTGAGTTGGCTGATGTCTGGAAACATGGCAAACTGAGCTAATGGCTTGTCTTCCCTGTAAACTCATAGAAATGCCGATATAACTAACAACAAAATACCCATGACCTCCCATGTTAATTAACAGACTAAAACTTTTATAAGTTTTCCAATAAAGAAAAGAAAGAGAGGAAGGAACTGGCCCCAGCTGGAAACAGTAAGAGCAGGCAAACAATCATCTGTAGACATTTTTTCACCCTAATAAGGACATGACTAGTAGACATTTTTATGGATATTCCTCCATTTATATCTTAGGTTGGGACCCTTATTTTATGGAGATCTTAGAGCCTGAGTTAAAACTGGCACTTTGGAAGGCTGAGGCAGGCGGGTCACCTGAGGTCAGGAGTTCAAGACCGGCCTGGCCAACATGGTGAAACCCCATCTCTGCTAAAAAAAAAAAAAAAAAAAAATACAAAAATTAGCCAGCCATGGTGGTGCATACCTGTAATTCCAGGTACTCAGGAGGCTGAAGCAGGAGAATCACTTGATCTCTGCAGTGAGCAGAGATCGCACCAGTACACTGCAGCCTGGTTGACAGAGCAAGACTCCATCTAAAAATATATATCTATTGTTGCAGTTTATCCCAGTCTTTTCTTAGATCCTCAAGTTCTAGTCTGGAAAATTACATATTTATCTTAACAGTAAACAGAGGCAGAGTTTACTGATATACCAGAGAATATATCTGTTTGCTGTCAGAGGCTGATTGCTACAACACAGGTTTTAATAATTTGGTTGACTTCATACTTGTTTTTATTGGAGCTTATTTGAATTGCTAACATCATGTCATTTGACCTTCATTTATTACAAACATATCACTTACTTACTCAGTCTGCCTCTGTTTGCTCTTGGCCCATTTCCATGAAATCCAGGACAATACTCTAAAGTAGCATATTGTTTTTATGACGTTAAATGTTTTATAATGTTAAATCAGATTCTTAGTTTATAAGAACCTAAAATCTTATTTCATGAAAATATCGTTTACTTGCAAATTATACTGCAAGCTTTTTTGTAAAAACTTAAAATATGAGCACAACAATGGGATACAGGATAATGACTGCCATTTTGACATGGCCCCAGCTGGAAACAATAAGAGCAGGCAAACAATTTGCCAGCCTAAGAGCTATTTGATGTGTTTACCAGCACCTGAAATGATCAATCCTATCTCCTTAAGATATCACTGGGCAATATCTTAAATATAAACATGAAAACTAGCTGGAACACTGAAAATCCCATCATGCTACATTAAAAAGTGGTCATTCAAGGATTCAGAATATTCTTGTATTTATTCTTTATTGATACAAACATTTTTAATGGTCACAAAATTCAGGTACCTCAAAGAATATTCCAAAGGATAACACTGCCTCAGTTTCACAAATACTGGTTCAAACATTAACTCTATGCTTTACTCACATTGAACTTAAGGCTTTATTCACAATCAGTTGGTCTACCACTTAAAGATGGGGGGGCTTTGTGATTTCCAAACTGCACATACACTCTATTTTTACAATAAACTTTGTTATTTCTTAGAAGTAGAGTTGCCATGTGGATGAATAGTTGTGTTGCTCAATTGATACATCTTCTTACTATTTGAGAAACTAAACTATGAGAAGAAGGTTGCTTGATGAACACAGACCCCTCTATACATACTGGGCACTCATTAAGTGTTAAGGAATTGCTTGATTCAGCAGTGATAGCCCCCTTCAACACGTGTTACTAAAAGAAAACACTGTCAAATCAAGGTTAGTAAATGTCTCATACAATCAGGGATATCCTTTATCTTAATTTCATAGTGACCCTATGCCAACCCTCAAACTTCTGTTTTCTACCTAGTTACACCACCTTCAAAACCAGTTTCACAGTGTTTTTAATGAAACCTCAACTCTTATCCTATGGAAAAAAATCAATAGCAAATAACACTAACTCACAGTGTACAGATTCTCAGAGGGGAGTCCCTTTCCAACCAAAGTGTCTCCATTTTCATTAACTGCTGACATTCTTATTGATGATCCTCTTTCTGCGGTGGGGACTTATAAATCTCCTGTCCACTTACTGCCAATAATATGCTTTTCATTGAAAAATACTAAATCTTTTCTATATTTAACTTATGTGATTGTATACTTCATTATAATTCTTGATTAACCATATTTTATCTCCACAAGTCATAAAATGTTGATGAATATGATTTATATAAAGATCACCTTTCTATTGACATTAGCAGATATATACCATAGTATCTGTTTGTTTTAAAAATTAAGTTTAATAAATACAACTTATTTTTACCATGTCACTCTTTACTGCTACTTTCTAGTATTTAACATGTTTCAAAATGTATAAATATGGCCTCCTGTCAAATCACCACTCAAGGTCAAGAATCTACCTTTACATGTTTCTAGAACCTTGTATAAAGGAGAACAATAATATATTTTGAATAAATGATTAGATAAATAAATGGGTTTTTCCTGAATTGATTCCATTAATATTTTTAAATCTCGGCCTTAATTTTGAATCATCCAACCAATAGAAGTTCAGTCTCGCTGTAGCCTCTCAGAAGAGACATTATGCAAAAAATATATATTGACATTAGGAAGAGGGCCTTCACTGTAAATAAATGGGTCATCTCTTCAGTCATTCCCCTCCATTATCATCATGTGGGCTTGCTAGTAAGCACCTCTTTTATCAGTTCTTCAAGCTCATTTTCTTTTTAAATTTTCAGAAAGCTTCAGTAGAAATGTTTAAACTTTCAAGAAAGACAACTTTAGCAGAATCACATACTTGTTGGGCACATATAGATCTTTGTAAATGTAAGTAAAAGATAACTGAGGCCAGGCATGGTAGCTCACACCTGTAATCCCGGCACTTTGGGAGGCAAAGGTGGGAGGATGGCTAGAGCCCAAGAGTTTGAGATCAGCCTGAACAACATAGTGATACCCCATCTCTACAAAATGTTTTTTTAATTAGCTGAGTGTAGTGGTGCATGCCTGTAGTCCAAGCTACTTGGGAAGCTGAGATAGGAGGATTACTTGAGCCCAGGACGTCAAGGCTTCAGTGAGCCAAGATCACACCACTATACTCTAGCCTGGGCAACAGAGCAAGACCCTATCTCAAAAAAAAAAAAAAAATGAGTGTTTTATTTGACTATTTTTATTTGGAAGCCTGTTTTATTTGACTATTATTAATATGAAATGTTATACAACTTTGCATTTTATTTTTTGTACAGGCAGAAATACTCAGTATCCTCAGTCACAGAAACATCATCCAGTTTTATGGAGTAATTCTTGAACCTCCCAACTATGGCATCGTCACAGGTAGGAACTCATTATTTGACTTCTTCCTTTCTCCAGTTACCTAGCTTTAGATTCCTTAATATGCTAAAATGCTTAATATTAGGTTCAATCATGAATTGTGTGTTACTGTCAGGTGTCACTTTTGTTGCTATAAAGCATTAATAAAACTGATTATATCAATATAATTAAGAATAGTGTTTCCACTTCTACCCATGTTTAATTGTGCTAATTATATCTGCGTAAATGCTATTTAAATGCACTCGCAGCTGCAATACCAATATTTAAAGGTGCCGTTTAACTAAAATTTCATTTAATTAGTTGAAATGAGAGATGTTTTTTGAAACTCTGTGACCTTTTATAAATTAAGATTTCTTGAGCTATTCATGTTGTAATTCTTTGCAAGGCATTTTAATCCCATTAGAGCATTCTTTCTTCAAGGTCTCTGACGTGAGAACAATATTTTTCAGGTTTGGTCAACTAAGTTGGTAATGACCTTGATCTAAATTATCACATAATTTGGAGCAGCAGTTTATAGGTGACAGAAATATCCTTTCTAAAAAGGAGCACATAGAAACTTTTGCCACATGAAAACACAGAAAGACACGTATCTTTAATACTTTATGCTCATATTTGTATAATCCACTGAATAGCTTTAGGTCTATAATAACTATAATGTTCAGTTTTACAAAAAATAACTTTGATCTGTATCTTGGCAATCTTTTGATTAAAACAAAGTCTGCCAGGCAAGGTGGGTGGCTGTAATTCCAATACTTTGGGAGGCCGACATGGGTGGATCATGAGGTCAGGAGTTCAAGAGAAGCCTGGCCAAGATGGTGAAACCCCTTCTCTACAACTACAAAAGATAGCCAGGCGCAGTGGCAGGTGCCTGTAATCCCAGCTACTTGGGAGGCTGAGGCAGAAGAATCGCTTGAACCTAGGTGGCAGAGGTTGCAGTGGGCCAAGATCTTGCCACTGCACTCCAGCCTGGGCAACAGAGTGAGACTCTATCTCAAAACAAACAAAAAGTCAAACAAGAAAATCTTAAAATATTAGTCATATCTTCTCCCACTGTAGAGGTGAGAACCTAGAGGTCTTTATAGAAAAGAGCAAGGAAACACTCTCAGTAAAAAGGATTGTATTAAGTACTTTCTATAAATTATCTAATATTTACAGTAACCCTATGAGATAGTAAAATAATTTCTATTTTACTAGTAGAAAACTAAATCTCTGCAATTTTCCCATGGTCACCTAGCTAGTGGTAGAACCAAAGTGGTTTAAATTTCTCAAGTTGATTTCCCAGAGAAGCTCCTCTTCTATGCAAGCTTGGATCTGGAAGGCTATGAGCTGACTGGTTCTTAAATTTAGAGAGACATGATTGTTGTTATTCCATCTTCTGGCAGCAGGTAGTTTAACATGCTTTTACTCTTAGTAGTGTTTTAACCTAAGTTCTTAAGCAGAAGGATTTTTATCCGCAATTCACTTTCTTTAGATCTGTGACTGAAATGGGGCATGTAGTAATTTTTATCTTGAGTCTAATATTTCCTATAAACGTGAATACCCATGAATGGGCTATATTGTTGGGGGGGAGTCAGATTTCTGATTTAAAGTTAAACCTTTCTCTGACCCATATACCATGTGGCTCCTTTTGTCTGTGTCCATTGTATTTACTTTTTTAAATAGTTACATTCACTTTATAAATCTCAATCCAGTTTTCTGATTCTCATTTGTGTTATTTCTCCCTAAGAAAGTGTGATACTCCAAAGAGATTAGAAACTCTGTATCTTATTATATAGCTTGATGTTTAATGCTTTTTGAAAAGATCTTTGGCCAACTAATGAGCTATTTATGAAGTTTTCTAGTTTCTTGAGGTGAGGGGGAAGGGTAGAAAAGGGGACTTGAGTGGTGATATGAAATTCTTCTTCCAAGAGTTTACTCTCAGTAGGAAGATATGCAACATGCCTAGCCAGCATATTTCCCCTAGGTCACCTCATCTGAAAGAGGGAGAAAGAATCCACGCGGCTTGCTTTCATTATCAGACTAGCCCGTCCTTTATTTCATGCATCCCTTTAGCATTTTCTACTCATACTCACACCTACCCAAATTCTTTAAATTGATTAGTTTTTTATGGATCTATATCCCTTTCCCTGTAGAGCCAGTAAGTAAGCAACTGTTAACATTAAATAATTCTTTAAAACAACACAAGTGTCAGATTATGAGGTAGTGGTAGATTGTATATTTATAGCTCTTATTGACCTGTAAGATTGACTATTAAAGAGACCTGGTAGCTGAGTTTTGGTGGTTTGAATGTATGGATTTGATGTGATTATCTTTGTTCCTAGAGATGTTGGTTTTAATTGATTAAGTGCTTGTTTGTGTGAGCCTTTCAACATACTTTCTACAGCTATGCTCTGTGCATGGGTAGTAGAAAATATGAAAACTGAGTTTGCGAGTGAAGAGATCACATGGATTAGTGATAATGACACTTATTCTACGACTGGAAATTAACACAAACAAGTCTAAGTGTGAGGCAGTTAACAGAGAAATAAAGATAGGAAAACTGACCTTGATCACCCAGCCCTAGCTAGAATACCCCTCTGTGAACCTCATCATCTTTATCAAATGGTGGAGGCTCTGAAGGAGGAAGCTTGAATGGCTTGAATACCTTCCATTTGAGGTAGTTTTTTTGTTTTTTGTTTTTTGTTTAAATAGAAAAGGCTGTTGCAGCAGGCAACTGTTGTCATTCATACTGAGGGCTTGAAAGAATGATTTATCAGAGTGGTGGAATGGAATGAGCTATGAAATGGGAATTGTGAGATGTGAGATCTTCTCTTGATTCTGCCAGAGCTACATAGATGGGTCACTAATGATCTCTGTCTCAGTTTTCTCATGTGAATTAAGGGACTAGAATAGATATCTCTGGGTGAGAGTATGTATGTATGTATGTGTATACTTGTGCATGTGTGTTTGCTGAAACTTTTTATCACAGACATATAAATCCTGCTTATCAGAGGACCTGGGCTAAGAGGCAGTTGCCAATTTCTTTCCCTTGGAAGGAAAGTGAACATCTTTCCCCCAGATCTACAAAGAAATGGGGTGACAAGAAACTCAGACTCCAAAGCCAAAAGAAAAGATACCATAAGGGATATTTGATCTTTGGAAACTTCTTCATTCTGTACTACTCCCATTCTTTTATTTCTTTGTATGTATGTGCATGCATGCATGTGTGTGTGTGTATACACACACAAAAAGAAATATATATATATATATAGAGAAATATGCATATATATATACATATATTCACTTTGTATACAAAATATTTTGTCTCTATATATATATATATAGACAAAATATTTTGTATACAAAGTGAATTGAGTGAACTGGGGATAAAAGTCCCTCTGCTTAAGAACTTAGGTTAAAATGCTACTAAGAGTGAAAGCATGTTAAACTACCTGTCACCAGAAGATGGAATAACAGCAACAAGTCTCTGAATTTAAGAACCAGTCAGCTCACAACCTCCCATTCTGTGGAAAATCAACTTGAGAAATTTATACCACTTTAGTTCTACCACTATATATGAAATCTATATCTATACATATACATACATACATATATATATATATATATATAGAGAGAGAGAGAGAGAGAGCAGTAATGTATTTCTTTAGACATATATATGTAAAACATAAATGTTTGACGGCCGGGGGAGCTCCTGGGAGACGAATGAATTTGGTAGATAGGAGACCATGTACCTCTTTTGTAGCAAGCCAGATTGGAGAGGAGATACAACCCACACCCTAAGTATCTGGTAATCTAAGATTAAAGAAAGGGTGGCAGACTGAGAAGGGTGGCATCACTTCCAGAGGGAAGTGACTTAGGACCCCAGATGCTTGGGAAATTGCATCTTTGTGCCCAGGAGCTGGTATCACCTCTTAAGTTACCTGTTCTGCATTAGTTCTTATTACTCCTCTTAGAGAGGAGACTAGTTCTGCATGATTTCTCAGCAGGCCCAAATTCTCATTAAACCCAGCCAAGGAAAACACACTAATTTTTAAGTGCCCAATCTCATTTCCCTTAACTTGATCTTGATTTATGTTAAGCACAGATACATCTAATTTGCATGTTTTGATATTGTGCTGGTCTTTTCTTATTAATCAATTAGAGACAAGTGTCACATTTTGTTATAACACATTTTCAGACATTTGTGTATATTCTATTAGTTATAATCTAAGCTTGGTCTTGCTGACATTTTATTACAAAGAGGTTTCATGGTAATGGTATTTATTTCAATAATACTGATTGTATGTTTACATTTTTCAAAGCCAGCTATTGTCACCATAAAACTCAAAGGGACAAATCTTCTTATAAATCAAAAGGGAATGTTTGCTTAATGTGGTTCTTAATGACTTTTTAAAAAATGAAACAAATACTTTATACTAAAATCCAGTAAACTACTTTCTATGGAGTAGTGGCTTGAAAAACATGTAACCATATGTGTATATGGTAAGTCCACCATTTCCAATGAGAAAACCAAAAGGATGAAAAAATTAAATGCTTATTTAAAATAGTTAATGTGTTAGTGTAGCCATCCACATACCTAAAGATGACATTTTATATGAAAAAAAGGTAATAATATTGCCTTTCTTGCAACTTCAAAGTCATGAAACTTTTATTTAATCATGTATCTTTATTATTATTATACTTTAAGTTCTGGGGTACATGTGCAGAATGTGCAGGTTACATAAGTACACATGTGCCATGCTGGTTTGCTGCACCCATCAACCTGTCCTCTACATTAGGTACTTCTCCTAATGCTATCCCACCCCTCCCCCCACTCCCTGACAGGCCCCAGTGTGTGATGTTGCCCTCCCTGTCCGTGTGTTCTCATTGTTCAACTCCCACTTATGAGTGAGAACATGTGGCATTTGGTTTTCTGTTCCTGTGTTAGTTTACTGAGAATGATGGTTTCCAGTTTCATCCATGTCCCTGCAAAGGACATGAACTCATCCTTTTTTATGGCTGCTTAGTATTCCATGGTGTATATGTGCCACATTTTCTTTATCCAGTCTATCATTAATGGACATTTGGGTTGGTTCTAGGTCTTTGCTATTGTGAATATTGCTGCAATAAACATATGCGTGCATGTGTCTTTATAGTAGAATGATTTATAATCTGTTGGGCATATACCCAGTAATGGAATTGCTGGGTCAAAGGTATTCCATGTCTTCATCGTCATTAGAATGACTTTTTTAAATTAACATGGTTTTTCGAGTACAGTGTCTTAATTATAGTATAAGATGCTTGAAATATCATAGTTTGGGGAATCTCTGTATGACACTCTCTCTGGATATTTATCTGAAGCTACTAGAACCCAGTAGCATGACATTAGGATTGTTGGATATTTTAGTGCCATACGCTATATTTGTAAGTATAACTGACTGCTTTTCAAAGTGATCTTTAGAAGACTTGTTTTCAGTGACATCCTGCAGTTGGAATTGAGAACTCATAGTTCCAGAAATAATTGCTCTGTGTTGCCCCTCCCTGCTTCCCTCCCTTTCTTTTGTCTTATTCATATAGGTGACCTTTATAAGCTTTGAAAAACTGCCTTTGATTAAGATCATTTCAGACTTATATATTTTCCCCCCAACAGTGTTTTGTTGTTCAAAATAAACTAATTGAGAGAGTATCTTGAAGTATCTGAATATAAACTGACTCACTCTTTCCTTAGGGACAATTTTTTGGGTGATGGAGACAAACCTTACATTGTATTTGGCATACACAATTATTCTTATAGGTCATTAAATAATTACTAAATGCTATTTTATAAACCAAAAATGATTTTTATGCTATATGACCAGAGATTTTAATTATAGAAGGCAGCTTGATTATCTAGAGTACATAGTAGAATAGGCTACTAACAGCTTTATTGTTACATTGGACCAAGCTATTTAATAATACAGCTTAAAGCTATTCTCTTTTTTGCTATTCCTTTATTTATCTAAGATTATCATTATACTATAATTTTCTGCTATTTGATAGCCATTAGATAACTTTGATGTCAAAAATTATACAAAACAAAAAATGTGACTCTTATCTACTGAGATGTTTTGCTATGAATATTAGTATTTTTCTCAAGAAATAATTTATCACATATATTTATTTGCATGAATCAAGTTTAGTTTCAGAGTATTGTTCTTACCTTATGTCTTTACAGATAGAAAAAAAATTTTTTTTTTGAGACAGAGTCTTGTTCTGTCGCCAGGCTAGAGTGCAGTGGCATAATCTTGGCTCACTGCAACCTTTGCCTCCTGGGTTCAAGCGATTCTTGCCTCACCCTCCCAAGTAGCTGGGACTACAGGTGTGCACCACCACACCCAGCTAATTTTTTGTACTTTTAGTAGAGATGAGGTTTCACCATGTTGGCCAGGATAGTCTTGATCTCCTGACCTCATGATCTGCTCAGCTCGGCCTCCCAAAGTGCTGGGATTACAGGCGTGAGCCACCACGCCTGGCCCAGAAGAAATTTTTTAAAGCAATTTGTTGAAATTACAGACATTATCATTATGATGATAATTATTATAAATCATTAAAGCTCTGATGGGATAATTTCAGCTTCCTAAAATGAGGCTCAACTTTTCTTCAAGTTAGGCTTTAATATAAAAAAGAAATTTTTGGGGAGGGACTTCCAGCCATGCATGGATGACTTAGGAAGTCAGCAAATCCTCTCTCCAAAAAGTATTTATAAATTTGGACAAAATGTTCAGCCCTCTGGAAACTGACCAAAGGCATGTAACAATCTGAGAAGTGTTTATGTTTGAAAAAAACTGCTGGATTTTGGATAATTGTTGAAATCAGTAGTGCTCATGCCTGGACTTGTTCTCATTCTTCTTCCTCTACCAACATGCCAGCTCAGTTACACAGAGAGCAGGCCATGAAGATTGACAGCACTGTTGCCACAATTGAAGGTGCTCACTAGACTTACAACCATGGATTGTGCCCACATCCAGCAGCATTCTCAGTGGAAGTGATGTTCCTGGTGGCAGGAGAGCAGGAATAGGTAACCACTCTACTAGTTTGAACTAGTAGAGTTGTGATTTTGGTAAATGTATTCTTAGCTGAGGCCACATATATGCAAAATAGAGATTTGAGAGGGTCCACATAGTATCCACATACTCTTTGTAGCCCTAATGCTATGCACATTTGCAAAGGAGACCAGAAAAGGCCAGTGGAAGGTAAAAATCAGAACAAACTTGAAAACAGCCTAAACTTTGAGTGTGCTCTCACTGTGCAGATTCATCAGTCCAGGGTATTTGAACACCACTTCTGTATAATCATTGGCTAATCATCAACCTTTGCAGGTATAGGACAGCCCTCAAAAGGCCAGGCTTAGAAATAAAAACAAGATTGGAAAAAAAAAAAAAAAAAAGGCTAAGTGGAATATCACTGGGGACACACCATAGGAGAGACAGATTGCAGGTTAGTAAACAGACAAAATCAAGAAAAATGTTCATGAGGTTAAAGTTAGAATCTAGAGTTGCTATATTATCTAAACTGTCCAATTTTTTGTAAAGAAACAGGAATGTGTTTAACCCATGTCCAAGAAAATCCATGAATGGGAACAGTCTCTTAATGTCTCCAAAAAGTTCAGACAAAGCTTTCAAATAATCATTATGTTCAAAGAACTATGTTTAACGAATTAGAAGAAAGTATGAAAATAATGAATTAACCAGTAGAGAATCTCAAGTAGAATTTTTTTAAAGAACCCAATGAAAATTGTGGAGTTGAAAAGACAATAATCAAAATGAAAAATTCTGTAGAGTGACTTAACAGCAGATTTGAGATAGCAGAAGAAAAAAATCAGTGAACTTAAAACTGGATCAATAGAAATTACTTAAAATTCAATCAATAGAGATTAATTCCAAAAAGAGAAAACATTTGAAGGAAAACGATCAGAACCCCATAGTCCTATGTAACAACCTGTTAGCTATTAGCCATTTCTGCTCCCCTGCCACCAAGAACATCACTTCCAGAGACAGTGCTGCTGGAGGTGGGTACGATCCACTGTTCCAAATCTAGTAAGCACCTCTACTCTGGCAACAATGCTGTCAATCTTCATGGCCTGCCCTCTGTGTGACGGAGCTGGAGTGCTGGTAGGGGAAGGAGAATGAGAAGAACCCAAGGCACCAGCACTATTGATTTCCACAATTATACCAATGAATGTATAAGAGGAGAGGAGAAGAGGGGTGGAAAAAGATTTGAAAGCATAATGTCCAAAACCTTCCTAAAGTCATTAAAATACAGTAATCTACACATATGAGAAGCTCAGCAAACCACAAGTAGGATAAATGCAAAAGCACCCATACCTAAACTATAGTCAAATATAGTTGATAAAGTAAAAATCTTGAAGCAGGAAGAGAAAAACAACTTGTGTACAAGGGAACAGCGATGTGATCAATGGCTGACTTCTCATCTGCAATGATGGAGGCCAGAAGGCAAAATAATGACACTTCAAGGGTTAAAAGGCTATATTCAGCAAGATTATCTTTTAAACACAGAATCAAAATAAAGACACTCTTGGCTAGGGAATGAGAGAATTTATTCCTAGCCGACTGGCTTTGTAAGAAATACTAAAGGAAATCCTTCAGGCCGAAAAGAATGCAGCCATCAAAAACGATGAGTTTGTGTCCTTTGTAGGGACATGGATGAACCTGGAAACCATCATTCTCAGCAAACTGACAGAAGAGCAGAAGATCAAACACGCATGTTCTCACTCATAGGCGGGTGTTGAACAATGAGAACACATGGACACAGGGAGGGGAGCACTACACACTGGGGTCAGTTGGGGGGAAATAGGGGAGGGACGGTGGGGGGTGGGGAGCTGGGGAGAGATAGCAAAGGGAGAGATGCCAGATGTAGGTGATGGGGAGGAAGGCAGCAAATCACACTGCCACGTGTGTACCTATGCAACAATCTTGCATGTTCTTGACATGTACCCCAAAACCTAAAATGCAATAAAATAAATGGGGAAAAAAAAAAAGGAAAAAAAGAAATGAAGCCAGATAGTCATTACGATTCATGGGAAGAAAGAGTATAGGAAATGGCAACTATGTGGGTTAACAGAAAAGATTCCCTAAGTATATTTATCCTCACGTCTCAGAACATTTAAAAACATGAAGGAGGTGGGCGCCCAGAACCTCCCCGCGGGAGGGGCCCACACTAGAGCCCTTGTGCCCCGCGGCCTGTGTGCGCACCTCTGCTAGAAGGGCCGGCTCACACCTGTCCCGTGCAGCAGCCTCCGCGCGGCCGTCCTCCTGCGGCACTTACACCGGCTGCCGCCTGATACTCCGACATGGCCGAGGTGGCTGACTGTCAGTGGTCATCTCCACCAGAGGCAACAGAGAGTTTCTTACCCAAAGAAATTTGGTTGGCACCCCCCCACAGCTCTACAAAATAAGAAGACTTGAAAAGTTTGCCTCTGACTTGCACAAGTGTTCTTTGGATCATGCGTTAGAAGGGGTGGAAAAGTGGCTGCGATCACCTTCTTAGCTGCCAGATGGGAAACCCAGCTTTTACCAGGTGATGAGCTATACTTAGAAGAGGCTGACCTTAGAAAATCTTTTGTCTGCTGAAAAAAGGACTGATGAAATCACGAAGAAAGGCACGCAGTTTCACCAAGTAGGGATGTATAGTTACTGTCTTTATAATAGCCACATGACTATTCAAAACGTAAACACATATATCTTACAAACTGTGTCGTGTCTAAGAGCCATTCGTAGGGTGCCGCTTGTCTGTAAGCTGGCCTACTTGTCCTCATGAATAATGAGGCTTGACTAAACTTGCTTGAAACGTGAGGAACTTTGTACCTGTAAAAGTTGGCAGTGTTTCTTATTTCAAGGGTTTTATGGCATTCTCTTGCTTATTCCATTAAACCTTTTATTCTTTAAACCTTATAGTGTGCCATATGTATGAAGTTTATAAAGTACTAACGATATTCTTAACCAAAACAAGAAAAAAATTCCAAAGGGTTCCCATTTCTGTATTGTTTTATCATCTGCTGCCATTGTTTTTAACTATTCACTGTATTAGCACTTTTTCTGATGTGCTCTGCAGGTTGATCCATGAATTTCTTAGATGTTGTGCTGGAATTAATTTAAGGGTGTCTGATGAGATGGTGAACGGTAGACTCAGACAATCTTCAAGTGACCGTGTCATTGTTTTCCTGGTGTCTTTCCTTGGTGATTAAGATACAATTCTTTTTAAAACCAAATGGCACTGGTTATGTTACCCAAATCAGAAATCTATTTTAGTTAATATTTTAAAGAAAAATGAAGCCATAGCAAAAACCAATATTATTTTTACCACAGAGTGTTCATGGCTGTAAAGAGGTTAGAGAGACATATTGTTTAATTAATTATGTTTATTTTCACTATATTTAATGAGTAATCTTTTTATCTCCTTTAAAGAAAAATAATGTTTATTGATTAAAGGTAAGAAATGATAGTTAAGACACTAATTTCAAGATCTTTGACTATATTAGGCATTGTACAATGGATTTGACTTTTCATGAAATGCCTCAGTTTTCCAACCTTTACTTTTTTATTATCATTCAACTTATGGTTTTTCTACCTTTAGAATAAAGACAATAATGAATAAAAATAAAAACATAACATATAAAGCAATAAATTTTTGTTCACTTTTGTTAACTTTAAAATGTATGTAGACGTATTAATATATCACAACGATAGCATAAAGGATAAGGGAAGGGAATGGAGTTATATTGGAGAAAAGCTTTTATATTTTATTGTAATTAGGTTAGTATTAATCTGAGGTAGATTGTGCTAAATTAAGATATATTTTATAATCCCTTGAGCTACTCCTAAGAAAGTTATTCAATAAATATAGTAAAACATCAATCAAGGATTTAAATTATATTTAAGTTGTTTTATTGCAAAAGAGGACAATAAAGGAGAAACAGGACACTGAGAAGGACAGGAGACATGTAGAAAACAAAAGGCAAATGTAAACCCAACTGTATCAATAACCACATTCTATGTAGATGTTCTAAACACTTCAATCAAAAGGCAGAAATTGTCAGATTGGATTTTAAAAAAAAAGATCCAACTATATACTCTCTACAGGAAATATACCATAGCTTCAAAGATACAAATAGTTTGAAAGTAAGAAGATAAAAAAAGATATACCATGCAGACAGTAGCCACCAGAGAGCTGGAGTAACTGTATTGAATTTCAGACAAAATACAGCAAAGATAAGAAATATCACTTGAGACAAATAGAGCCATTTCAAAGTGATAAAAGGATCAATACATCAGAAAGACATAGCAATTGTAAATGTATACACCCCTAAAACAGATCTCAAAGTATGTGAAGCAAAACTGACTGAATTAAAAAGAGAGACAATTCAAAGGTAACTGATTTCTGTATTCCACTCTCAATAATTGATAGAACAGGTAGACAGAAAGTCAACAAGGATATAGAAGACTTGAAGAACACTCTCAGCCAACTTTACCTAACTCACATGTAAAGAATACATATTTTTTCAAGTACACATGGAACATTCTCCAGGATACATTTTACAGGAGGCCACAAAATAAATCTCAGTTCATCTAAGAGGATTGATGCCATACAATGTATATTTTCTAATTACAATGCAATTAAATTAGAAATTAACAACAAAAGGAAGTCTGGAAAATTCCTACTTTTTGGAAATTAAACAACACACAGCTAAATACCCACTGGGTCAAAGAAGAAATCGCAACAGATTTTTTTTTTTTTTTTTTTTGAGATGGAGTTTCACCTTTGTTGCCCAGGTTGGAGTGCAGTGGCGTGATCTTGGCTCACTTCAACCTCTGCCTCCTGGGTTCAGCCAGTTCTCCTGCCTGAGTACCTGGGATGACAGGTGTATGCCACCATGTCTGGCTAATTTTTTGTATTTTTCGTAGAGATGGGGTTTCACCATGTTGGCCAGGCTGGTCTTGAACTCCTGACCTCAAGTGATCCACCTGCCCCGTCCTCCCAAAGTGCTGGGATTACAGGCGTGAGCCACCACACCTGGCCAGAAATCACAGATTTTAAAATATTTTGGCGTGAAAGAAAATGTAACTTCAAAATTATAGAATGTATAAATTCTAGAATATAGATAAGGCAGTATTTAGAAGGAAATGTATAGCTTTCAACACTATATCAAAAATAAGAAAAGCCCGAAGTGGATAACCTAAACCTTAACCTGAAGAAACTACAGAAAGAAGAATCAGTTAAAACCAAAGTGAGTCAATGACAGGAAATAATAAAGATTAGAACAGAACTCACTAAAAGAGAAAACAGAAAAACAATCATGAAAATCAGTTTATTGGATTTATTAATCTTTCCAAAGACTAAAGGATTTACTAATTTAAAGAAATTTAGTCTTTGAAAAGAGTAACAAATTTGACAAGCCTTTAACTAGATTGATCAAGATGAAGATTAGCAAAATCAGGATTGAAGAACAGCGCTATGGCTCCTACAGAAGCTTAAAAGGATTATAAAGAAATGTTATGACCATCTTTTTGCCAACAAATTAGACAATTTAGATGCAGTGAACAGTATTCTTAAATGATACAAATTATCAAAACAGAAGATCTGAATAGACCTATAATAGATTTAAAAACTGAATTAGGCTCGGCATAGTGGCTCAAACCTGTAATCTTAACACTTTCGGAGGCCAAGGCAGGCAGATCACTTGAGGCCAGGAGTTCGAGACCAGCCTGATCATCATAGCGGAACCCATCTCTACTAAAAATACAAAAATTAGCCAGGTGTGGTAGTATGCCTATAGTCCTAGCCACTTGGGAGGCTGAGGCTTGAGAATTGCTTGAACCCAGGAGGCGGAGGTTGCAGTGAGCCGAGATCATGCAACTGCACTCCAGCCTGAGCAACAGAACAAGACTCTGTTTCAAAAAAAAATAATAATTGAATTAGTAATTTAAAATATCTCCATAAAGAAAAGTTCAGGCCAAGATGATTTCACTGGTGAAGTCTATAAAATGTTTATAGAAGAGATAGCATCAATTCTTCCCATACTCTTTCAGAAAATAGAAGCCAGTATTCTATTTCAACAAGCAGTATTATCCTGATACCAAAGTCATACAGAGACAGAGCTACAGACGAATATTCTTCATGAACATAGATGTAAAAATTCTTAACCATATTAGCATACTGAATCCAGCCACCCATAAAAATTATAAATTCCAAGTAGAATTTATCCCAGAAATGGAAGGTGGCTTAACATCTGAAATCAGCCTATGTAAGGTACTAGTATAAACAGTAAAATCATAGAAGAACAAAAACCCTATATGATCATTTCAAGATGCTGTAAAAGCATTTGACAGACAACACTCACTGATAATAAGAAGTCTCAAGACACTAGGAATAAAAGAGAATTTTTCCAACCTGATAAAGAGCATCTACAAAAATCCACAGCTAATATCTCATTCCATGGTGAAAAGCTAAATGTTTTCTCCCCAGGACTGGTAGCAAGGCAAAGAAATCCTTCTCTGACATCTATTCAACATTGCACTAAAGGTTTTAGCCAGTGTGATCACGTAAGAAAAAGAAATAATAGACATCCAGATTGAAACGGAAGAAATAAAACTGTCTTATCTGACAACCTATATGTAGAAAATCCTAAGGAATGCACACACATACAAAAAAAAAGCTACCAAAACTAACAAACATGTTTAGAAGGTTCACAGGATGCAAGATCAATCTTTGAAAAGGTCAGTCATTTAAAAATCTATTGTATTTCTATATACTGGGAATGAACAACCTAAAAATGAAATTAAGAAATAATTCCATTTACAGTAGCATAAAAAAGAATAAAATCATTGGGTACAAATTTAACAAAGTAGGTATAAGACTTGTACAATGAAAAGTACAAAAATTGCTGAGAAAAATTAAAGATCTAAATAAATAGACATTTACACATTTATGGTTTGGAAGATTCAGTATTGTCAAGAGGGCAGTTCTCCCCAAAATAATCTATAAATTCAACACAATTCCTATCCAAATCCCAGCAGACTTTTTTTTTTTTTTTAGAAATTAACAAGCCAATCCTAAACTTTATGTGGAAATGCAGAACATCTAAAAATAGCCAAACCAATTTTGAGAAAGAACTAACTTTGAGGACTTAGACTGCCTCATTTCAAAACTTATAAATCTGTAGTAATCAACATAATACAATATTGGCACAATATCTACAGGGATATAGACCAAAAGAACACAATTAAAAGTCTAGGGGAAAAGCCTCATATTGATTGGCAATTGATTTTCAACAAAGATGCCAAGACAATTGAGTAGGTAAAAGACAGTATTTTATTGCTGAGACAATTAGAAATTCATATGCTGGGGCCAGGTGCAGTAGCTCACGCCCATAATTCCAGCACTGTGGAAGGCTGAGATGGGAGGATCGCTTGAGTCCAGGAGTTCAAGACCAGCCTGAGCAACATGGCAAAACCCCATCTGTACAAAAAGTACAAAACAAAAAAAAAATTGCTGGCATGGTGATGTGCACCTGTGGTCCAGCTGCTACCAGAGAGGCTGAGGTGGGAGGATCGCTTGAGCCCCGGAGGTCAAGGCTGCAGTGAGCCAAGAGTATGCCACTACATTTGAGCCTGGGCAACAGAGTGAGACCTTGTCTCCAAAAGAAAAATTTATGTGACCAAAAAAAAAAAAAAAAAGGAAATTAGAACCACACCTCAGACAATACATAAAAATGAACTCAAAATGGATCATAAGCCTAAGTATAAGGGTTAAACTATAAACTCTTTTTTTTTTTTTGAGATGGAGTTTCGCTCTTGTTACCCAGGCTGGAGTGCAATGGAGCAATCTCGGCTCACCGCAACCGCCGTGTCCTGGGTTCAGGCAATTCTCCTGCCTCAGCCTCCTAAGTAGCTGGGATTACAGGCATGCGCCACCATGCCCAGCTGATTTTTTGTATTTTTAGTAGAGATGGGGTTTCACCATGTTGACCAGGATGGTCTTGATCTCTTGACCTCGTGATCCACCCACCTCGGCCTCCCAAAGTGCTGGGATTACAGGCGTGAGCCACCGCGCCCGGCCCAACTATAAACTCTTAAAGGAAAAATGGAAGAAACTCTTTATGCTTGGGGGTTAGGCAGAGAGCTCTCAGAAATGACACCAAAAGCACAGCCATAAAAGAAAAATTGATATATTGGAATTTATAAAAATTAACAATTTCTGCTCTTTGAAGGATGCTCTTAAGAGAATGAAAAGACAAAAGACAAACTGGGAAAAAATATTTGCAAATCATATATATGACAAATGACTTGTATCTAGACTAAAATAACTCTTAGAACTCAATAAAACAACCCAATGTAAAAGTGGGCAAACAATATGAATAGACATTTTGCTTAAGAATATATAAAAGGGGCCAATAGGCACATAAAAAGATGCTCAACTTTGTTAATCACTAGGGAAATGCAAATTAAAAGCACTGTGAGATACCACTAGTGTTATACCCACTACAATAGCCATAACCTAAAAGGAGACAGTACTGCCAGGCACAGTCACATGTGCCTGTAATCCCAGCTACTTGTGAGGCAGGGGTCGTGGGGAAGGACTACTTGACAACAGGAGTTTGAAGTTTGAAGCTAGCCTGGGCACCATAGCAAGACCCCTTTCTCAAAAAAAAAAAAAAAAAAGTATCAGCTGTTGGTGAGCGTGTGGAGAAATTGAAACCCTCATACATTGCTGGTAGAAATATACAATGATACAGCCTCTCTGGAAAGCAGATTGATAGTTTCTTAAAAAGTTAGACATAAACTTACTCTATGGCCCTGCAATATCACCCCCCGAAATCTACCCAAGAGAAATTAACATATTTACACACAGAGATGTACATGAATGTTCATATGAGCATTATTCATAAGAGCCAAAAACTGGGACAGTTCAAATGTCTATCAACTGGAGAATGAATAAACCAAATGTAGTATATCCATACAACGGATAGTATTCAGCAATAAAACAGAATGAAGCCTTCCTATATGCTTACCACTTAAATGAACTTTGAAAACATTATATGACCAGGCACAGTGGCTCAAGCCTGTAATCCCAGCACTTTGAGAGGCCGAGACGGGTAGGACGTTTGAGCTCAGGAGTTTGAGATTACTTTAGGCAACATAGCAAGACCAACCCCCAACTCCTGAGCACAAAAAAAAAAAAAGCCTCAGCATGGTGATGTGTGCCTGTAGTCCCAGCTACTTGGGAGGCTGAGGTGGGAGGATTGCTTGAGCTCAGGAGTTTGAGGTTAGCCTAGGAAACATAGCAAGACCTCATCTCTACTCAAAATAATTTTAAAAATCAGCCTCAGCATGGTGGTATGTGCCTGTAGTCCCAGCTAGTTGGTAGGCTGAGGTGGGAGGATTGTGTGAGCCTGGGAGGTGGAGGCTGCAGAGAGCCGAGATCAAGGCTGCAATGAGCTGTGATTGCACCACTGCACTTCAGCCTGGGCAACAGAAAGAGACTCTGTCTCCAAAAAAAAAAATTATGCTAAGGGAATGATGTCAGACACAAAGAACAATTTGTATGATTCTGTTTACATGAAATATCCAGAAAAGGCAGGATTAACTGTAAACTGGCACAAAATAACTGTTTGTAAAGGTGGAAAGGTTCTAAGACTGGATTGTGCTGGTGGTTGCCCAGCTCTATGAATTCACTAAAAATCACCAAATAATATACTTATTGCAAGTGAGTTTTAGGGTATGTAATTTATACTTCATTTTTAAAGGATTTTTCTCACTTTTCTTGACCTCTTGTGCTTAAATTTTGAGAGCTCTTCTAAGTCCTTATGCAACAAGGATTGATTTGTTTACACTGTCATATAAGCTCTCTGATTTATGCATTTAATATCCATCTCATAAGAATATCTAAAGAAATATCTATTTACATACGTACCTTTGTTTCACATTTATTCTTCCAACACCTCTTCATGTTTCTCAGTTCCAGCGAAATGGCTTTTGACTCTCGACTGAAGTTTACGATTCATTGTATGTTACTGGTCTTATGTTTGAAAGATATTTTTCAGGATGACATTACCTTTTTGAAACCATGGCATGGAACAATTTTTTATATACTTTTGATGTATTTTGTTAAATTATTTAATGTATTTTCTCAATGAAAATATAAAGTCTTATTTCTGAAATGTACGTTGGTTTTAATTATATGTTTTCCTTTTCAAATAGAATATGCTTCTCTTGGGTCACTCTATGATTACATTAACAGTAATAGAAGTGAAGAGATGGATATGGATCATATTATGACCTGGGCCACTGATGTAGCCAAAGGTAATAATGTTTGCTATATTCTTACAGAATTGGTGGGACGCATTTTCCCCTCCTGAAATGGGGACCTAACATCAGAAAAATTTTTATTCTGTCTTAGATGTTCTTTTTTCAGACCAAAAGTGGTAAGAATTCCACAGCTGATTGTACAGATAATATTTTAGGTCATTGCCTTTCCATTCCTGAATTCCTTTTCCCTTTCTGTTTTCTCTATTTCTTTCCATGAAATCTAGCTGTAGCTTCAGGGCAGATATGTTTGTCATGTTTTGTGATATAATTGACTAGCTTGCTTGACACATTAAATGGAAAAATCATAATTCTGTTGTTATTCTGAAAGTCTCTACTTAGACTCAGTATCTAGAAAACATGATTTATTGTAGGATTAGTTCTACTCATTTTGTATACATAATATGCTAAAAATAGAAACCACTTGCAAAAAGAAATTTTTATTTGTCCTGCCATGTAAAAGCAATTCAGATTTTATTTTACATTTCATGTAAACTTAGGCATCACTGTTGGAAATTAAATATTTTTAATACACCAAACCCCTAAACAAGGTGCCCAGTCTTTTTTCTCATACATTCCTGCATAGATGAATGCTTTCTAAAGCAATTCAAACTCCATTTATTTTTATCTTTTTTTTTCCATTTTCCTAACTGAACATTTCTGGGCTTTATTTATAACTGAAAGAGTTGCTTTGGAAACAACTTCATCTAAATAATGAACACTGATAGTTATATTTGTATTCCAGCAACCCCTACTAAGTGTGTCTGAATTTTCCTGGAACAATGAACTCCTTTACATTTTACTACTCCATTCTCTACAAGCATCTCTTTACAAAGCAAATGTAATGTGATTTAGAACTCAGTAAGGGGAGCAACTCATACTTGGATTTCACTGTATGACTTCCAAAAGTAGTAGTCTTTCCTTTGGAGGATTGTCTATTTTAAGTTTCATCAACACCTGCCAAATTCTCCAAATAGGGAAAGTGAAAAATTTTTTTTTTAGTTTCATGCTAGATGCTGCTGCTGACTGATGCCTCATTACATTATAAAATATAAGCTCTGTGTTTAGGGTGGTGTACCTGAGACTTTGGCTGTGCTAATTAGCTTAATTGTGTGTCGATGTATCAGGCATCTCAAATCATGCTTAAACTTTCATATTCTTAAAGATATTATTATGTAGCATCATAGTGACTTCTCTGCATGTCAGTAGTACACAAAGACCACCTCTCTGTAAACAAGGTGATGTGCTGTGATTGGGAGCTGCCTGCAGCATTGTGGAAATACCCTTAAATAATGTAAATGCATATATAGGTAGTCCTTAACTTACAGCACATCACCTTACACCCATATGCATTTAGGGTGCTCAGCCAGTTACACCCATATTATTACTTATTGGCACTTAGAATAGATAGAGAGCAAACAAATCAGCTAACATCAGTCACTCTGCTTCCTGCTGTGCTCTACTTAAGCATCCCTGGTTCCCAGCCTGGGAACCTTTTCTCCCTGCACCCCCTTAAGCACATGCCACATCATCCTGACTAAGGGGTAAGTCTCTTGGCTCCACATCAGCTGAGTCATTCTTGGTGTTCTCTCAAGAGTGCTAGTGCTCTGCATCAGAAGGGCAAAGAAGAGAAGGAATAGAATTAGGTAGCAAACTGGGCTGAGTGCAGTTGCTCACACCTATAATCCCAGCACTTTGGGAGGCTGAGGCGGGTCTATCACTTGAGGCTAGGAGTTTGAGATCAGCCTGGCAAACATGGCAAAACCCCATCTCTACGAAAAATACAAAAAATTAGCTGGGTGTGGTGATGCGCTACTCACCTGTAGTCCCAGCTACTCAGGAGGCTGAGGCACAAGAATCACTGAAACCCCAGAGGTTTGCAGTGAGCCAGCATCAAGCCACTGCACTCCAGCCAGAGTGAGACCCGGTCTAGGTAAAAAAAAAAAAAAAAAATTAGGTAGCAAACTGGAACAAGAGTTAAAAATAGGGAAGGAGAGGCTGGGCGCACGCCTGTAATCCCAGCACTTTGGGAGGCCAAGGCAGGCGGATCGCCTCAGATTGGGAGTTCGGGACCAGCCTAACCAACATGGAGAAACCCCGTCTCTACTAAAACTACAAAATTAGCCTGACATGGTGGTGCATGCCTGTAATCCCAGCTACTCGGGAGGCTAAGGCAGGAGAATCTCTTGAACCTGGAAGGCAGAGGTTTCAGTGAGCCAAGATCATGCCATTGCACTCCAGCCTGGGCAACAAGAACGAAACTTTGTCTCAAACAATGAAAAAAAAAAAAAAATAGGGAAGGAGAGAATGGGAATGGATCCCCTGAAGGTGTCCAAAACTACAGATTAATAAAATCCCTTTTGCCTGTCTGGCTAATGTGTTTGACCTCAGGT